GGCCATTCTGAATGATATATATGGTCATGTTTACCAATATGCTTATTTTATTGATGAGGAAACTGAGAGCCTGAGAGAAAAAGCTTTATTCCAATCTCTCATTACCCATTGTGAGCATCAGGGATCAGAATCCCACTCTTCTAATGTACAAATATTCTAAAGAATCACAAAAGTAAATTCTGGAGTAAGATGCACATGTGTTCCCCATAAAATATGATTTATTTATGATTGTGCCTGTTCAGAATGCATAAATCATGAAACATTGCCACTTGGAAAGTTCCATGGTACTTCTCTCCTTTGTGAACATTTATGAAGGAATACAATATTCTCACATTTCTTTAAAGTCATTCATTCAGAAGCACTTATGTGCTTATTAAGTATTTCACACATGTTTAGACAAGAATCTTGGGTGTTAGCTTTGATTTTCACATAAAGTTTGACTGATATGACTAGTTAAGAAAACCAACAAGCAGAAAAGAAAACAACGAAGCAAAATTCCTTTTTTTGGAAAGTCAAAGGTACAAATATTAAGTTCTCCAAAATGATTTGGTGAGAAGAACTTATCTGCTCATCATCTGGGACCCTTTTCTCGTAGGTTTCCTGTGTTCTTATCTCACCAACTTTGCCTCTCCCTCTAGCTGATCTTCCTCTTAGCCCGTAACATACTCAGATCCTGCCAGCCTTGCTGGACCTCACCCAGCCACGTGCTCCTAGGCATCTGCCATTCAGTCATCGCCTTCCCTTTCTCATTTCTAGTTCTTGATATTGCTGCCCAATCACTTTTCACCTCCTAATCTGGTCACTTCCTCTCAAAGCTCAAATCCTCCTTTCCTACCTTCTTTCCTTCCTCCCTCCGTCCCTCCTCCCTGTTCCCCACATCCTTCCATAGCTTGAACAATATTTATGAGCACCCAGTACATGACAAGCACTATGCTAGATATCCGCAATTTAGTTTTGTGAGATAAGACAGACTTGGTCTTGGCTCTCACAGAGCAGCAGCCTAGAATGCACGCGGAATGGCCATCCAAGGCTGTGGTAAGTGTCCAGCAGGTGGTACAAACACCTAAGAGAGGCATTGAGCTGAACTTAGGTAGTCAGGGGTGGGTCTGGGGAGCCTTCCTGGAGAATGCACTATTACTTTGAGACTAAAAGAATGAAGGAGGCTGGGAGAGTATCTTAGAAAAGAAAAAAAAATATATATATATAGGGCTCAGAAGTGTGAAAAGTGGGTGGCATGCTGAAAAGGTAGAAAGTTTAGTGTGGCAGAAGTGAAGAACCCAGCAGGGGGGCAGAAAGGAGAGACACTGAGAAGGGTCAGCTCCTGCCGAGTTTCCTAAGTCAGGTTAGAGCATATGAAGCACCAGGATCCAGTTTGTGTTCTAGTAAGAGGGCTCTGCTGATTGAGTGTAGAACATCGTGGAGACAGCCGCGTGTGAATGCGGGAAGATCAGTTAGGAGGGCTTTGGCTGCAGCCCAGGAGAAAGATGCTAGCTTGGATTGTGAATGCTAAGGAGAATGGAGACGCATGGAGGAATCTGAGAAATATGGATGGGCTAGAGGAAGTAGAACTAGGCAAGCAATTAGGTCCACAGTTCTCAATCAAGCTAATGTGAGTCTCCAGGGGACATTTGGCAATGTCTGGAGACATTTTTGGTAGAGACCAGGGATTTTGGTAAACAACCTACAATGCACAGGACATTCCCCACAACAAAGAGTACCTGGCCCAGGGGGTCAGTTCCTGTCTACTGAGAAATCCTGGCCAAGGACCACTGAACTGTTTCAATAATGAAAATAGAATGCCTAGTGATGAAGAGAAAATAATACACTCTTCAGCACTAGACTAGCAATCTCTAGAATGCTAAGAAACATAATAGGAAGTTTTTTTATTTTGCAGTGAATTAAAACTAGTTTAAGGCTATTGCAGTTAGTTCATGCTTTTAAAGAAACGTTGCAATACTATTTTTACTAAATCTAAGTTCATAGAGTCAACCTGTTCACTTACACTGCCATTCTCTATAATGTCAGGCCTGTGTTTCAGACTTCCTAAGTCTCTGGGCGGAAAAGGACTACTTTCTGGTGTCCTGTGACAGAGGTAATTCCTTTCAGTGCTCAGTGTGGAGAACAAGAATGGAACGGGGTGGACGCAGACATGTACCCCTCAGATGGCCTCGGCTGAAGGCGTACAGTCAGAGACAGCCTTCCTCACCTGCAGAAAGCTGCCTCTCCCCAAAGCAGGTTCTTCCAGGTGTAGCCACATCCAATGACCACCTGAGGCCAGGACTACTCATGTGGGGCTGGCTGAGAATGTGTCAGGCCTGCGTCCTTCCCCTTCCTCTCACAAATACTAATCTCTACTCTGTCCACACACAAACACCATCCCCGTGTCTCCACTTAGGCTTGGCTCCTCACACTGTTCCCTTTTACCTTTCCTGTCACCAGGATCAGCAACGGAATTATGGGGTCCCGTGCAAAATGAAACTTTAGGACCTCATGTTCAAAAAGCTGGGAAAAGTATTATTCAAAGTGCTAAAATAGAACATTTGTTTTTTCTTTTCTTTGGTGGCCTCTCTCAGTTTTTCTGTGTTTTAAATTTGCCGCTTGGCATTCTTAGTGAAGTGGGACTGTTAAATGATTAGTGCGGATTTACCACTCATCTTTGTTACACAATTTCAGTTCCAAATGCAAATAGGAGTATCGGAGTCGTTGTGCAGAATCACTGAAGTTACACAACTCATATTTTACAGCTCAGACGTACATATGTTTCACTTTTACCAGAGCAGTGGGAACCCTGCCCGAAGCTAACACAGCTGTTTTCATCTGACTTCTTGATACTTTCCTGTCCTATCGGCATTCTTATCCTTGGCTTACTGATGAGTAAGAACGGGCTGAGAGGGAAGGGAACAACGATAGCCCTCTTTCTCTTTTCTTCCATGCCATCATTCTCAGCCGAAGTTGTGGAAAGTAAGAAGGGAGAAAAAAGATAGGACAGGAATTCTTGGTCCTTTGTGATCCAGAAGGAAAACGTGGCCTCTCTTGGAGCTGTACACCCTTCTTTCTCCCTACTCGGTCATAAATGTAGCAGACACTTGTATCTTATCCTCGCTCTGCGTCTTACTGAACTCCCTTGCATCAAGGGTCTTCCAGAATTCTCTGCTCCTCAGACAGGAGTTCTGTGCATCTGGGGCAGCAGAGAGCAGGGGACGCACACGTGGCGTGTACCTCCTTGCTCACAGGCAGCCTCTGCGTTCCAGTGGACTTCACTTACAACACACAGATTCAAAGATCGAATTATTAAGAATTTTAAGTCAGTGACAACAGGCATTAAATTAATTTTCAGGTTTCTCAGGCTCTGTGTGACGGTGTAGCTTACACTTCCATGAAGTCGGCTGTGTCTAACACAGCTGTCCTGAGTGTCCAGGGTTTTCTTCCTTCCTTGAAGTCGGCTGTACCTAACACAGTTGTCCTGAGTGTCCAGGGTTTTCTTCCTTCCTGTTTAACTTCTCTGTCACTCACCTTCACATGTAACAGCAAATGGAAAGGAGAGGAAGAGTGAAAATAGCAGGTTCTCACAGGCTGCTGAAGCAATTTAGCCCTCTCTGGAGACATTGATAACCTCTTATCTCATCCCTAAGCCGCAGGGCCTGATTCCTTCCCCGCTATCTCTGGGCTCGAAGGACTTCCTGCCCTGAGTGAGGATAGGTGCCAAGCTCTGGGAGGCTCCTGCTAGTTGGTACAGTGATACAAACCATTGCTTCTGGTTCACTTATGTCTGTATTTCCCTAAGTAATTAACTCTGTTTCTTCATAAATATTGCTCTTTCTCTACACATTCTCACACACATTTCTGATTATATAGGAAATCATGTTCATTGTAAAATAACTCAAAGTGTAGACTAAAGATAAAAATGATCATTTATAAACATACCATTCATGTTGAGTTGTTAGAAGTCAAGAAGTGTTTTTCTATGCAAAAATGTGTCATGACTTTCACGACAACCCTATATATAGTGTTAATGGTGGTGTATGTATTTTTAAGTTTTCTATTTTTTGAGCTGTTTTTACAAAACAAGTTCTTACTAGCTGAATCATTTTGTAACTTACTTTCTACTTAACATTTTATTGTGAATGTATTTCAAAATCAATAAATACAAAGCAACATCCTTATCTTTAATATTATTTCACTTTATGGATATGCCATAATTTATTTAACCAGTCCTTTATTGAGCAAAGGTTAGATTGATCATAATATTTGCCAATTATAGATAGTTCTTCAGAATATATCCTTTTGTGTATAGCTAATTTTATCATCATCATCTGATTATTACCTTTTTATAAATTGTAGAAGCAAAACTGTTGGGTGATCTATAACTTTTTATTGTCAATTTTGACTTATTTATTAGTCTCTTAGAAGCTATAGATGTTAGCAAAATATTAGGATGAATAAGAAACAATGTGTTGACCTGCATTTTTTTCATAAAAAGAACACATCTCTGGGGGCCAACAGATGGCATAACGATTACATCACTGGACTCCCACGTGGCTGGCCATAGTTTGAGTCCCAAACCCAGTGACTTGAAATTCACGCTGGGCATGTATGCATGCATACCCAAAATCCCAAGAGGAAAATGGAGAAGGTATTGTGGCATGGCCATCCCCCCAGAGGATGATTTCTCACTTTCTGTCTCTGTATCTCTCCAAAGAGCATAGGTACTCTATTAGAGAAAATCTCTTTCTCAAACAACAACAATAACAAACATCACGTCCCTAAAGCAGTGATCTTTATAGCTACTTGGCTTCTGCAGCTCATCTGGTGATTGAACACTTGTTCTTCTTCTCCTTCAGAATGGTCAACATGGTGGGCTTCTGATTTTCCATTGGTTGTATTCCAGCAATTAAAAGCCTTGAAGACTGGAAAAGCTAATGGAACCCAAACTTTTAAGTTCTAGTTCAAATTCTTGCTTGTTCACTTTTTGTATAAGATGCCTGCACTGTATTTTTCAGATGTATCTCGATTTTTTTCGTGGAGTTCCAGACATACTTTGCTCAGGATTATGCACAAACAGCCTGGATCCATTCCATTATAGACTGTGTCACTATGCTCTGTGGTGAGTATCATTTACTGCGATAGATCCATATAATAGATCGATATGATTACTCTTGAATCGTATGTAACAGTGATCTTCCTGACCTGGTTACCAGTTATTCTACGTACAAGGGCTGTGTGAGAAATGGGATAAGTCTTGAGCAAGCAGTTGACATGGAGGTTAAGGCAGTTGGATCCCACATGGCCGATTGTGTTATTCAACTCTTTTTTTTTTTTGAGAGGTTTTTCACTATAGGGCGTGTGCGCTCGCCAGACAGACAGAGAGAGACATAGAGACAGAAAGCGAGAAATCACCCCCCAGGGGGGATGGTCACGCCGTAATCCTTTCTCCTCCATTCACCTCTCGGGATCTTGGGCACGCACGCACATGTGCCCGGCGTGAGTTTTAAGCCACCGGGTCCAGGACGCGAATCGCAGTCGACTACGTGGGAGTCCAGCGACATAGCCATTACGCTAACTGCTGGTTCCCGTGTTATTCAACTCTTGAACCCCGTGGCTTGAAAATCCTATTGGTCATGTGTGTGTGTGTGTGTGTGTGTGTGTGCCTAAAATCACAAGAGGAAAATGAGGGAGAACAGAATATGGCATGGCCTTTGCCCTGGGGGTGTGCTTTCTCACTTTCCCTCACTCTCTCTCTGTCTCTGTCTCTTGCTCTCTCTTTCTCCCCATCTCTCTGGTGAGTGCATGTGCCCCATAGCAAAACTTAAAAAGAAAAGAAAAAAAAAAGGTAAAAGAAAACAATTAGCTAAATCTCTATAAAAAGAAAAGATAAATCCCATTTTTAGCCAGACCCAACCAGACTTTCTCTTAGACTGAATGGTCTTGGCTAATGTCAGATGGAATACATACGTAGTTAATTACTTGACACAAACTACTGATATATGCTTCTTCCATATAGAGACAGGATGCTGAGCACTGTAGAACTCAACCTGCTTTGAGATATAGTTTACCATACAGTACAGGCTTGACTTTTATCTTCTGAATGCTACAGCCTTGTTCTCCACTCATGCAACTAGTCGTTGACTACAGCACCGTGAGCCATTTCTCTACGATCTACTTAAGTGAATGTCAGCAGTGTTGCATTATGTCTTAAGTCTTGATCTGCATTCTGTTTTCATTTCTAATTCAAAACTTGGCTGATGTATTCCATCTTTTTCATGTGCAAATCTTCCTGCTTAGAGAAGTACTGAGGGGAGGACAGGATTGTATACTCATAAACCCAACATATTCACTATGGCTATAACTTCATTCGGGAATCCCAAAAGACTTATAAGGTATATAGAGTGTTTAGGAAATTCACATTTCATTTCAATATTAGAGAGTGACAAACCTTGATGTACTCTTTTTATAAATTTCAAACCAAATTTATTAAACTGGTTTCTTTTTTTTTTTTTCCTTCTTTTTTTGGCGCATGCGCTCGCCAAAAAGACAGAGAGAGACAGAGAGACAGAAAGTGAGAAATCCCCCCCCGGGGAGTGGCCACACCACAGTCCCTTCTCCTTCACTCTCCTCTCGGGATCTTGGGCATGCATGCACATGCGCCTGATGTGAGTTTTAAGCCACCGGGTCCAGGACTCAAACTGCGGTCAACTACGTCGGAATCCAGTGACATATCCATTACGCTAACTGCTGGTCCCTTAAACTGGTTTCTTAGCCTTTAAGATTGGAATGAACTGAAATAACCTGTTTTGTAGCCTACATCCTCTTAATCCTTTCCTTTTGATTAATCCTATGTCTTTTAGAAAATTTTCTGTCTTCAGGCCCTGTCTCAGCAGCAAAAGGGAAATATTGTATTATTCAGTGACCAATAATAACTTCATCTGGTTCCATTCTGGGTATTGACTCATACTTACTTTTAGAAAAAGTGTGTATATTCAGGAATCAATTGAATTGTGCTGAAATGTATTTCTTTAGTTGAGAAGAGTTTGAGAACACTTCTAGGACTGGAGAAGTTGGTTTCATGAGAAGGCCAAGTTGACTTTTTCAACTGATAAGGTCTTAAGGGATCCAAAATACATTATAATTGGGTTTTGTCTTTTTCTTCTTCCTTTTTATTAGTAAAACAATCACTCGATTTTCAGAGCACATGAGTTGACACAGCCTTTGTATCAGCATGTCAAGAGAGCTGAGCTTGTCTTTATCAGAGGATACAGGCAACTTGCTGTTATTTTTGGAGAATATTTGTAATCTGCTGAGAGAGAGAAATGATCTTAAATGATTAATATGGTCACAATGACTCTTTAAGACTTTAAGTAGGGTCATGTCAGAAGTAGCACATTAAAATTCTGTGCAAAAACATGAGCCTGTTGTACTCATTGCTTACCTGACTCCATCCCATTCGAACAATTTTTAAAAAGTTTTTGCAATAGGGCACGTGTGCTTGCTGGAGAGAAACAGAGAGAAACAGTGAGAAAGAAAGAAATCACCTACTGGGGGCCGGGGGGGATGACCACGCCACAATCCCTTCTTCTCCATTCTCCTCTGGGATATTAGGCACACATGTACATGTGCTCCATGTGATTCTCAAGCCTCCAGGTCTAGGACTTGAACTGTGGTTGGCCATGTGGGAGTCCAGAGCCTTTACCACTACGCCATCTGGTAGCCCTGCACTAGAACATTTGAGTTTTGAGTATGGACAAGAGACTGCAGAATCATATCTGGGACACCCACTGGGGACAGAGCTACCTCTGCTGGACAGTAAAGTGAACATTTGTTATTGAGTTTGCTGACAATTTTGTCACTTTCCTGTAACCACAGTAGCAACATCCTTGCAAACTAGATCTGTTCTCAGGTTATTTGCTCATTCCTTTCTCCAGGAGTCATACACGTAGCCAGTCACTGTTTTAACTAGACAGAGGATATAGGGTTGATGACTGAGTCTATCACATACATTTGAGTCCGCCCGATTTCAGCCTGATCAATACGAAAATGACCATACTCTACAGACACCAGGGAATCAGCTCTTTGATCTTATTACTGGGACTGCTGGTATCAGAATGGGTTGTTCCTTAGACAGAAATTCACATGCCTCCCCACTCTCATCACTTCTGTCCTCACTCTGGAAGCTCCAAGGAGTAGCAGAGTAAACTAACCCACACTCAGTGTCAGGTGCCCGAGCTCTACGTTCTGGTGACTTTGGACATGCCATCCCCCCTAAACTCCAGCTCTTCTTTGAGCTTAACTTTAATTGGTGTTCTTTCTTTTTTATTAAAAAAATAATATGCTAGAACATATGTGCATTTACTAGAAAGAGGCAGAGAAAAAGAGAAAGACAGAGAGAATAACGAAGCACCCGCCATGGGAAATGGTTAAGCCACAATCCCTTCTCTTCATTGTACTCTCCTTTTGGAATTTTGGACATGCACTCACAGGCACCTTGTGTGTTCCTTAAACTGTCGAGTCTGGGGCTCATCATTCCATGCAGTCAGGCTTGTGGCATCCTGCCACCTTGACCACAACACCATAGGCTGGTCCAGCTTTAATTTGTAGACCATGTGCCTCGACGTTGACACAATTCTGATACACTGGTAAACCATAAGTAGAATAAGGTTAGTCCAGATGCCACCATGGGTATGAAGCATTTCTCGTAGAATTTCGTGTTTTGATTTCTCATTCCTAAAATGACCTCAAGCTCCAAAGCATGCTAGATTGTGGAATTCGTCTTGATCTCTCTCCCTGGTCTTTTGCTGCATAATGTTGTTGGAAACACAGTGCTGTCTGCATTCTGTCTCCACCAGTTAACTGTCCTCATTATTGCTACTAGTGTATGACCAAGACCCTATGCAAGGGACATGTAGTTTAAACAAACAGTTGATCCGTTGTTCAACAAGCACCCTGCAGTCCTGGGATTATGAGTGTAACAGGGTGAAGATGAAGAATGAACAGAAAACACAAGCCAGAAATTTGAGTTCTGTCCCAGATCTGCTATTCTCGGAGGGACCATGAACACGTCACTTCCTTTCTCTGGGCCTCAGTTTCGAAGGGTGGGATCAACGTTTCGAAGGTTGATTGTTCTCTCCTCTGCCAATGCAATGGCACGGCCTTTGCACAGTGCCCTCTGGGCTTTCTGTTGAAACTATTTATTATTGTTTTTGAAGCTCCACTTGGGAGTATCATCAGCAATCATCTCTCCTGTCAAGTGGGAATCATGCTGGGTGGCTTGCTTGCATCCACTGGTCTCATCCTGGGCTCATTCGCCACCAGTCTGAAGCATCTCTACCTCACTCTGGGAGTTCTCACAGGTAAGGCCTCTTTGTACCACTTGTCTCCTCCTGCCCCGTTCAGGGGTTGTCACACTCACCGACAGAGCAGTGAGTCACAAAACATTAATTTTGGTAGATGCATAATTCAGCTGACCTAGCTTCTATCTGTCTACCTAGCAGTTAAACAGAGCCAGAAATGTGACTGCACTGCCCTAATGAAGAGGTTTCACCACTGTAATTCAGCATATAATAAAGGTAACCGCTGGCTTGCTTTTTGATGTTAGTGCACAACTGAGGATGTGCACTAGGATGACATAAACTGTTCGTAATCGTCATTCTCCTAACATCATTACCAAGACATTAAAATACTCTCCTTGGTCAACTTGAGTTGCTCCTACTTTATAATGAATATTGTTGCCCAATAAGTGGGAGTTTCAATTTGAAAAATAAAATATCTCATTGCAAGTATTCTTATGTTATATATGCTCTCTCTATTCTATGGAAGTGTCCCTTTAGAGGCTCATAACCAATCCCAGGAAGAGAAGTGACATAAATACACTCGATACCTCACACGCAAGGGGGCAGCCAAGGGTCAAGAGAGGGTTATTGGTGGGACTGGAGTGGCAGTTTGCCTTCACTCAGAGCGGTGTGGAGGTGGGCACCAACTTCTGTCTGGGTACTGTGCCATACGGACAGCGTGAATCAGGACAGTGGTCCTGGCTACAGCAGCTGAAGAAGGTACATCTGGCCCTAGCAACCCAAAGGGCCTGTGATGGCAACCCATGGTCCCCTCACTGAAAGTCCCACATCCAGAAAGCCCTCAGCCCAGAGAACCTTGGATCCCAGCCCACCTTGCTTACAGATAAAAAGAGGAGATGAAGGTGGTTCTCCTTTTTCTTCTTTGACATTCTAGATGTCATGAAGTTTGGACTTAAAGCTCTTGCTTTTCTCTTTTTTTCTTTCACTTAAAAAGAGTAGAAGGCCCAGCCATGGTAGCATATGCTGAATGCTGTGCTTGACAGGCTGAGGCCCCAGGAGAGACCGGAGTTCAGACTATCGGTGTTGTGTCTTCATAGGCAGTGAGAGTTAAGGCAATTATCTGGAAATTGAAGTTGAAATGGAGGGATAAGTGTCTTTGGTCAATATGATCCCAATTTTCTAGCTAATTCCAATTTAGTTTGTATAATTTTTCCATTGTTTGTCTTTCTTTCTTTCTTTCTTTTTTTTTTTAGAGAGATTTTTGCTCTTATGACATGTGCACTCACCAGAGAGACAGAGAAACAGAAGTGAGAAATCACCCCTGCCCTGGAGAGGATGGTTACACCGTAATCCCTTCTCCATTCTCCTCTTGGGATTTTGGGCATGCATACACACACTCCAGGCATGAGTTTCAAGTCCCAGGGTCTGGGACTCAAACTGCAGTTGGCCATGTGGGAGTCCAACACCTTAACTACTACACCACCTGCTGGCCCCTGTATGATGGTTTTTAAGTTGTCCATTTAAGTTTGTCTAAGTTATAATTCCTAAAAATGAAGACACATAATTACTTCCTGACCTTGTAGCTAAGATCAAGTGTAGGAAGTTGTATATCTTTTTTCATTTTCCAATTTATGAAGTCTGGTGAGGAGAGACTCATTTGGGGTTGGTGTACAAAACAGGTCAGATTCTGTTTAATCCGAATCCTTTTGTTCTGAGGAGTTCCCCTTCACTAGCTGTTCCTGGCTGCCCAGCACTCAGAGGCTTCTCTTTGTCCCCAGGCCTTGGCTTTGCACTTTGCTACTCTCCAGCGATCGCCATGGTTGGCAAGTATTTCAGCAGACGGAAAGCCCTCGCTTATGGGATCGCCATGTCGGGAAGTGGCATTGGCACCTTCATCCTGGCACCCGTGGTTCAGCTCCTCATAGAGCAGTTTTCCTGGAGGGGAGCCCTGCTCATTCTCGGAGGCTTCGTCTTGAATCTCTGTGTTTGTGGTGCCTTGATGCGGCCAATCACGCTCAAAGAGGATCATCCAGCCGCAGAGCAGAACCACGCCTGCAGGACTCAGAAAGATGACTTGCCGCGGGAGTCTCCCTATTCACCTTTGACCAAAGAATGTGGGTGGCCTCGCCTCTGCTGCTCCCTGCAGCAGGAGTACAGCTTCTTACTGAAGTCAGACTTCGTCGTGTTGGCCGTGTCCGTCCTGTTCATGGCCTACGGCTGCAGCCCTCTCTTCGTGTACTTGGTGCCTTACGCCCTGAGTGTTGGAGTGAGCCACCAGCAAGCTGCTTTCCTCATGTCCATACTCGGGGTGGTCGACATCATTGGCAATGTCACATTCGGATGGCTAACTGACAGAAGGTAAAATACGGGTCCCTTTGTCAGGTGGGTGTGCAGACAGCGAACTCACACGCAGACAGTGAGAAGGACGGACTAGCAAAAGAGCTGGAGAAGAGTGGAAGAGAAAAGGGATGCCAGAGCCACAAAACAATCATGGTCTCACCTACATCCTTGTGCTATGACCATCTTCCAACCAAGTAGAGAGCTTAGCATGCCCAGGGAAAATAATGTCCTGAACTAAGGTTTTGATTCCATTCCATACTAAAGATGGGAGAATGAAGTAGCTACTCAGATCTGTATGATTCCTTCCCAGTGGTCTTTAAGCATTGAGTTGCCTTCACCCCTTTCCCCTGTAGAATACCTAGGTCTGAAGAGTGTTAACAAGTCTTCAATGCCCCTCTTAGATCTCCTAGGTCAGAGGTTGACAATCTTGTTCTGTAAAGGGACAGCTAGTGAACATTCTTTGGTTTTGTGGGTCATATGATCTTTGTCACAACTACCCAACTCTGCTAATTATAGTGCCAAAGCAGCCTACGTAATCTGTAAGTACCTAATAGTCTAGGTTCTGGTAGACTTCACCTATGCATACTGAAATCTGAATTTCTCCTGTGATTCTTACATGTCACAAAATACTGCTCTTTAACATGTTTCCCAATCATTTTTAAATGGGAAAACCCTTCTTCCTTCACAGGTAGTACCAAAACAGGGGGACAGATGTGACCATAATTTGCCAGCCAGCTTGTTCTAGATGGTTGAAGACAGTGGGAATGTCTGCATTACAGATGCCTAGGGGAACTACCAGTTCTGGTGACAGGCTGAATTTCATCCCAAGTCAAGTCAGCCCTCAGCAAGACAACTTCTGGCTGAGTGTTGTGGTTTTAGTTTCTGTGGTTTAGTTTTAGTTGTGGTTTTAGAATCACCCTGGAGATTGGCTTACAATGGAAAGCAGGGCAGAATCCAGTCCACCAGCAGGATCTGTGGCCACGTTTTTATGTTTAATGGTGCAAATAGCAAATACTTTGATTTTAGTTGTGGGCTTAGGAGTCAAAGCTATAAGGAATCTACCAAGTAGTTTCTTTCGCAAATGCACGTCTCTTTGGATAGAAGAGTGCAAATGATTCATGATCTTTTAGATTATGGAGTCTTCACACTTGAACTGTGACCTGGGGAAGCATCCTGTGGCTTCTCACAAATTATGTCTTTGGTAATTAGTCAAGATCCAACTGCTATTCTCCAGTGTGGTGAATAAAATATCTAAGATTAATTCCACATTTTTAGTGGTTAAGAAAGAAGGGGATGACAAGTGTTAGCTTCTTCACAGCCTAGTAACTTAGTGAGAAGCAGACTCATGTGGCTTTAGTACAGGGTCCTCTGGTCTGAGGTAAGTGTCCAGAGAGAACACTGAATCATCTCTATCTTCGTCATCCTGATGTGCAAACACTGAGCTTGCACACAGACAATGAGAAGGATTGGCAAGAGAGTTGGGGAAGAATGAAAGAGAAAAGGGACCCAAGTTCCTGTGCTGGCTCTGCTCTTGTTAGCCTTGTGCTCAAGGGAAAGTCGCCTAACCTTCAGATCCTCAAATCTTCATCTGTAAATTAGACCAGTGCAACATTTGCCTGTCAGTCTCATGCCATTTTGTGAGGCTCACATGAGAACATGTGTAGAAAACATTTGTAATGCATTAATTACTGCAGCTGACATTTAAAAAAAACAATTAATTTTTTTATTTTATTACATTGAATCACATATATCTTTATAGTGTCTTACATTTCTTTTTCCAGCACGATTACCATGCATATCAGTCAAGACAAAGACTTTACTATCCACATCATCATCATCAAATAGTTTTTCATCATTTTTTTCAGATTATTATTATTTATTCTCATTTTTTAAAACATTCAATCACTATGTATTCATCTGTGTGTGGACATTGAGGTTGGTTCCATGTCTTATTGCTGCTGACATTTTAAGGAGTCTGAAATAATTGTATTGTACATGGATGTGGAGTTATTGAGGGAAGATGTAATGGAAGTACCATGGGAGAAATCTTGAAATAAGACTTAGTCCTAGTACAAAGATCTTTGTCACTCTCACAAATCATTTTAATGTCTTCATACTCCAGCTTCCCTTTAGTATAATCACTTGGGTTATTGAGCATGTATGATGTGCCAGAAACCAATGGGCAACATACCTGAAAACATCTAATATGGTAGATTGCTAGACAACGCCAGTTTCCTGGCACTCTACATGTTATTTCATGAATCTTTAGACTATCCCCATGAGATAAGTAACCCCATTTTTTAGCTAAAGAAATTGAGGTTACAGTTCAGTGTTTAGTGGGTGATAGAACTGATTTTAATCTTCTATCATTGTAGTTTTAGAGCATATAGTCTTTCTGCCATGCATACTTTCTGAGGAAATGAATTATTTCATTTGCATAAACCAAACAGAAGATAGAAAGGCAACATCGATCACATGAAATGGGGAGACCATCCTAGAAATAACCACAATGCCTGTGCTGCATGGCTGTGGCTCTAAAGCTTGGGGATAGAACCCGTGTATCCCACATTCACTTTTGCTCTTCAAATCCACAGGTGTCTGAAGAACTACCAGTATGTTTGCTACCTCTTTGCCGTGGGACTAGACGGGCTCTGCTATCTCTGCCTCCCAATGCTTCAAAGTCTTCCCCTCCTTGTGCCTTTCTCTTGTACTTTTGGCTACTTTGATGGTGCCTACGTGACCTTGATCCCGGTAGTGACTGCGGAAATTGTGGGCACCACTTCTCTGTCATCAGCGCTCGGCGTGGTGTACTTCCTTCATGCAGTGCCATACCTGGTGAGCCCACCCATTGCTGGTAAGTTTCCAGAGAGAATGCCCAATCACCTCTTCTCTTGTCATATTGATGTGCAAACAGTGGATCCATACACAGATAATGAGAAGAACTGACAGGAGAAGTGGGGGAGAGTGAGAGAGAAAAGGGATGCCAGAGCCAGCAGAAAAATCATGGTCCCACCGACATCCTTGTTTTATAATCTTCTTCTGACCAAGTGGAGACCTTATTCTACCTGGGAAAAGTTATGTGCTAAGCTAGAGTTTTGATTCCTTTCCATACTGAAAGTGGGAGAATGAAGTAATTTATAGATTTATAAATAAGTAGGGCACATTCAGAGAGAATTCCAATGAGAGTACAGGATTCCAGTGGGGACAGTGGGTGACGAGGCTGAAATGATAGGTTTTGGGGCCCCAGTGGGTTGTTTTTGAGTGCCAGGCAAAGGAGCTGGACTCTATGTTCTTTGGAGACTATGGGTAGTGGTAAATTTTTTGTGCAAAGGAGTAACACAGTGAAGAGTATATTTTAGAAAATGTGATCCAGCAATTGATTTAGTAATTTAGGGAGAAAGGTAGTTCAGAGTCTATTTTAATTCAGGTGCAAACTGATGAAGGCCTATGCTAGGGCTGCTGCCGCAGACATGGATGAGCTATGGGGGCAAGGAGTACATTTTTTGGGAGGAGATATCATTTGAATTTAGCATATGGGAGTGAAGGAGAGAAAGAAGTCAAAAATGACTTAGAAAACAATGTCAAGGTTGAAAGCAGTAAGGGAAGCTGGAGAATTGCTTTTCCTGGAAAATAATAAAGTTAATGTTTAGCTGTGTTGAGCTATCTGAAATAAAGTGAAAGTGCTCAATGGAGTTATTTTCGGGTGAAATTTGAGCATTAGTGGGAGCCAGATTCGGACGAACAGATTTGGGAGTCACCAAGTAAAGCATCCAGGATGTTTCGTGAACTGTAAGACGCTATAAGAAGTGCAAGCATGAATCAATGAATGATTTGACAGCTATCTGTTGCTCATGTAGTCAGCATTGTCCTTGGTACTAGCGATACAACAGCGAACAGGGCACAGTCCATCGGCCCTTCTGGAGTGTGTGGTCTAGACCTGCGTCTTTGGGAAATGAGATCCTGCAGCAGAACCCTCCCTACCTGTGCTTTTTTTGTTTTTGTTTTTAGTGGATTTTTTTTTTTTTTTTTTTTTTTAGCGTGCATGAGAGAGAGAGAAAGAGAGAGAATGAGAGAAAGCAAGAAATCACTCCTCCCCAGGGGAATGGCTATGCCCAATCCCTTCTCCATTCTGTTCTCCGGTCAGGATTTGGGGCACACACACATGCCTGGCATGATTTTCAAGCCTTTAGGTCAGGGACTCAAACTGTACAGTTGGCCCTTAGGGACCCAGTGCCTTAATCTCCACACCACCTGCTGGCCCCAGGAATCCGTTTTGAACAGCTTTCTTGTGAGTTTATGCGTGCTAAAGACTGGGAATAACTGGTCCAGACTTTTTCCTGCCTAACTTAAAGATGGGAGAGTTAACAAGCTCTCTAAAGATAGGTAAAAGAGAAATAAGCCACACATTTGCCCTAAAAGCAGGGGAATTTTTTGAAGGCGGGATTTCTTCTGTTACCTTCTATTGTGAATACACATTTAGGATTATTTCCAAACCCCAGCATCTGCTAATGCAGCAAACACGTGTATATTGTGGCTGTCTGACTGCTGCCGGTAGATCCCCCGTTAGCTTCAACTCCATGATAGAGGACTTTGTGTTTAGTGCGTCATTTTTGAAAATCACTTCTAAAATGTTCCCATACCTTCCCTCCATAGCCAACTGTACTGTTTACCGACCTTTAGAAACAGAGTAATTCTGTTAAAAGTCACAGGACTCAAATGAAATTAAGATTCTTGGATCTGTTTTTCCATCCCTGGATTTCATCTGGAAATCAGAAATTAGTCATTACTGGAAATTAGAGGATTAGGGCATCAGTTCTTGTTACAATACTTCTTTATTTACTTTTGAAATGACAACTCTCTACTCAGTCTGCTTTGTTTGTTGCTATGGAAAGGTGTATGGAAATCATGTGATAACTAAGGATTTGAGAGTACTTCGTATTCCACGAAATGTTGTGGGATTTATATCAATTTCTACATGCCATTTTGTTGTTGTTGTTGGAGAGGTTTTTGCTATAGGGTACGTGCCTCGCCAGAATGACAGAGAGACAGAGACAGAAAGTGAGAAATACCACCTCCCCCAGGGGGGATGGCCATGCCACAATCCCTTCTCCATTCTCCTCTTGGGATCTCGGGCACGCGTGCACATGCGCCTGGTGTGAGTTTAAGCCACTGGGTCTGGGACTTGAACCACGGTGAATTACATGGGAGTCCAACGACGTAGCTATTAGGCCAACTGCTGGTCCTAGACTCTACATGTGATTTTTGCCTGACGGATTTGAAGTAGGAAGGAGGAGAAAGCATATCCTTCCCTGATGGATTTTCTTGACATACAAATAAAGTTTGGAGGAATTAAAAATATTTTTTGATAATTCCAAAATAATTGTCTGCCAAGGTATGAGTTTACTCTGTTAATTTTCCGATTGTTATAGACCATATTTTGCTTATCATTTACCATGGTTTTCCTCAAAATTTAGAGTAAAAGAGAAATTGAGATTAACTTATTACAAGAGATTGATTAACAAAAACTGTGGGTGGGGCAGTGTGGTGGGTGGTTAAGGTGCTAGACTCCCACATGGCCGACTGTGGTTCAAGTCCCAGACCTGGCAGCTTGATCTCTTACTTTCCCTCTGTGTCTCTCTGGTGAGTAAATGTGTCCCATAGCAAAATTTAAAAATTATGATATTAGTAATTAATAAAATTTTTAAATAATTCCTCAAAAACAAAAACCTGTGGTTACAGAAATATGTCCTTATAAGTGTGTATTTGTGACTTTTAACATGGCCCAAAATTCTGGGCCCAGCAGTTAGTGTAATGGATATGTTGCTGGACTCCCATGTAGTCGACCCTGGTTTGAATCCTGGACCCTGTGGCTTAAGCTCATGTTGGGCATCTGTACGTGCATGCCCAAGATCCTGAGAAGAGAATGGAGGAGAAGGGATTGCGGTGTGGCCATCCCCCCAGGGACTGATTACTCACTTTTTATCTGTCTCTCTCAGTCTTTCTGGTGAGCACACATGCCCTATAATAAAAACCTCTCAAAAAAAAAAAAAAAGAAAAAGAAAACATGGCCCAAAATTCTGATAGTCAAACTTGATGTGGTACTTTAACTGAATTCAGCTGAAAATTTGGATACTGCTTTGAAGTGTATATGTTTTTCAAAATAGTATAAAGGTACTGAGGATACTACTAGCATTTTGTGTGATTATATTTTATGAACACCCTAGATAAATTATCTCAACTTCAATAATTTGAATTATGTTATTTTTGTCTTTCCTACCAGATTCCATGGAGTCAATAATAACTAATATTTACTGTGTAATTAATAAAAACGTGACATTTTCCCAAGGACTTTACACAGTAACAACAGTCAATTTATTTTACATATTTCTTTGGAAAATAGACTGCATTTTTTCATTTGCTATATGATGTTTTTAGGTGATCTGGTTTTTGTCCCAAAATTATAATGGTGGTGGTGGTGCTTGTAATTTATTGTTATCAGCCTTACAAATCATTAGATTTGAGAGTGGGTAAGTAATTGAATTTTCTCCTCAACAATGTAATTTTCCTGTTGTGTTCCAGGGTGGCTGGTGGACACGACCAGCAGTTACACTCATTCCTTCTCTGTGGATTTTCAATGATATTCAGTTCTGTGTTGCTTGGCTTCACTAGACTTGTAAAGAGGATGAAGAAAACCCAGCTGCAGTTCCTTGCCAAAGAATCTGATCCCAAGCTACAGCTGTGGACCAATGGATCAGTGGCTTATTCTGTAGCGAGAGAATTAGATCAGAAAGCAGGGGAAACCCTGGCTCCAGCAAGGCCTGCTTACAGCCCCACATGACGCATGGTCCCGAGCCTGGGAATCTTCAGCACTGGGAGAGAGGTGGGGCTGCCAGGGTGTTCACGGCCCTGAAACATTTTATTTTAGCAGAATTATTGCCTTCTAAGGAAATTATTATATTGTTAATCTATTTATAAGGGGAAATAGCAAATAATAAAGAAAGCTGGAATGGCCCAAAGTTTCCTCATTGAGGATTTGGACTCACGATTAAAATCCTATCTTTTGGGCAATGAGCATGGCTCCATAGGGAATGCAGGGACACAACTGGTAGTATCTGTGATGAGGGGTCATTTCAAGGCAGAGGACACCAGGCAGCGGTCTCTGTCCCTCCATTCTTTCCATCTCAGTTGTATGCTCAAGGACACATCGACATGTAGGTTTGCCTTCCTCATCTGTTTGGAGGAGGAGTCAGCTTGGTTGTGGTCCTGGAGCTTGAAGACACCAGACCTTTCTCATGATGAAATTTCTCACTAGGGCTTTAAATAAAGTTTTTAAAGAATAATTGGGATTGTCCAAAAAGTGATGATCAGGATAGAAAAAGTCCATCTCTTTCCTTCCTCTTGGTCTCTCAGCCAATCTTTGACTCTGCTAATGGGTAGATAGTACTTTCAGAATCCAGAGAGTCATGGAACACCATGGTTGGACTAGATCTCAAAAGCTGGGCAGATCCTCCATTTGAAATTGTCCACCAGAGACTGAAAGCTCTTTTCCTAAGGCTGTGTCCCAGGGGCTCACCTCTGTCACTATTGCATGTCACATTCTAAATTTATTCAAACACACCAAGCTGCAAGAGCGAGTTCTCTTGTCTTACCTAAAATGTTAACACCACCAAGACTTTCCCCCCTTTTTTCATCAGAAAAAAAGTGGCACTTATTTAAGCTGCAGACACATTCTTTTTAGGAACAGAAAAGTGGTGGCAATCTGTCAAATGAGCAAAGTTGAATTCTTGAATCAGCAGATCTCTAGTGAGTTTCCTTTGCAGATCAGAAACTTAGGTTCATCCTTGCCCAACACAGGACATGGGGGTGGGGGCGGTGGTATTGCCCTGGAGATGTTCTACAGGTAAGCACTCTTTCACTCTATGTCAATTCTTGTTCCAATGTCCATTGCTCTTCATTTCCTTATTGGCTAGTACTGGGTTGTTGGAAAAGCCATGATGCGGTTTTGCATAGAAAAACATAGACAATACGTTATGACTTTTTCCAGCAACCCAAGAATTAGCAACTGAACTAATTGGATTAGAATAGTTTGTTCATTCCTACACATCCCACTTTTTATGGTTTGGGATCATTTCTGAGTCTTTAGATTGCAAAGTAAAGGCGTGCAGAGGGAATAGCAGGGCAAGATCCCCAGCTTGTCTCCAAGGATTTTAAACGCACAGACCTATAATCCTGTATTCCAGATTATGTCATTCCTCTCAATAGGGACATTTATTTAAGAGTTTAAAATCCAGGGGCTGGTCCTGCAGTGATCAAGCCTGTCATAGGAACTTGGGTCCCACGTGGCCAACCTCCATTCAAATCCCAGCCCTGGTGGCTTGAAAAACACTTCAGATGTATGTACGTGTGAGCCTAAAGAACTAATGAGATGAAGAAATGGAGGAAGGATTGTGGTGTTGATTATGCCCCATTGGGGACCGCTTTCCCTCTTTTCCTCTCTCTCATGAGTGTATATGGCCTATGACAATAAATAAATAAATAGATAAATAAATAAATAACAGGATTTTAAGTTCTAAGTCTCACAAGTGCCTTGCCAGGGGTCCTGGGAGAAAACAGCAATGAGAAGGTCCTGGGTGGACAGGGCGAACCCAGTGGGAGTCTGTCTATAACTGGATTATTTCATTAAATCCTGTTTAATATATTGCTTTCAGAATGAAATACTGACTTAATCTGTTGGGTGAAAAATGGTAATATTTCATAATTGCTTTCCACAGAGACATCTGAATGTTATCTGTTATCTCTACTAAGTTTGAGGATTTAGTTTTGAGCTCACTCACTCTGTCATTGGCAATTTTAAAAAATTGGAAAATATCCATAAAAAATCAGAGTTGAATGACGTTGGATCTGTTTGAAATAGCACTTTACCATAAATGTCATTTCTTAAATTTTCAAGTCTAAGGTTTTTTAAAAATATAAATACCTATATTTTCTCTTGTACTTTTTTTCATAATGATGATCAAAGTAAAATTTTGTTTATGTGATTCTATAATATGACTCCAGTATTTATGAAAAATGAGCATAGGGATCAGAGCTTTTGCAGATTTGTGTAATAACATTGGATGATTTGACTTGATACATGGATACATTTGTATTTTACTTTGCCTTGTGGGGCAGCATTTCTGGTAAACCAGTAAGAAAAATGTAGATCTTAGAGTCTACCATTTTGCCAACAAACTTTACTGTTAAGGTGCCACGTGCCTATACTTTGTATTTCAGTATGGAGGAATTCATGGGAATGATGTATTTTGTAGAATCAAGAATAATATTGCAATGGGATGATTTTACACCTTAAAATATTTGTTTATACCACTGCAAATTCTGCTTTGGAACTGACTGAAAAGAAAAGCAGAAGAAATTATCTTTTATAAAAACATTGTAACATTGGGCCCTTTCTTTGGGTTGTAATTTCACTGATACTCATGCTAATATTGTCTTATTTCAAAAGGAAAATAAAATGAATTTATAGTCATGTCTTTGGAAAACCATTTTTCCTTTGGATAAATGGTTTGAGTTGAATGATGAGTGGGCCAGTCAGGGTCATGGTAAGATGTAGGCATTCTTTTTTTCTTGAAAGAATTATTATTATTTAACTTCAATTATTATTATTATTTAATTTCACCAGAGAGTGACAGAATGACAGAGAGCGAGAAAATGAGAAAGCAAGACGCCAGGTCCAGGACTTGAACCATGGTCAGCCATATTGGAGTCTAGCGACTTTAACCACCACACCATCTGCCAGCCCCAGAATTATTATTATTATTTTTTATATAATAGGTGGCGTGGTGGTTAAGGCAATGGACACTCCCACATGGCCTACCATGGTTGGAATCCTGGACCTGGTGGCTTACTTTCTCATTTTTCCCTCTCTCTCTATGTCTCTCTCTGGTAAAATTAAAATAAATAAATAAATTAAATTAAATTAAATTAAATTAAATAATTCTTTAAAATTTTAATTTATTTTTCTTCTTTTATTCCTCTTCTTTTTCTTTCTTCTTCCTTCTTTTCCTCTTTCTCCTTCTCCTTCTTCTTCTCCTTCTTTAATTTGATGAGAGAGAGAGAGAGAGAAAGAGAAAGAAAACCTCCAGGTTTAGGGCTCGAGTGGTTGGCGACATCAGAGTCCAGTGCCTTCACCATGCCACCTGCTGGCCCAGTAGTTGGCATTCTAAACCACGGTGAGTAGTCAAATGATTCACAAAAAACCAAAGCCCTTTCCTGAGGACTTCCTTTCTTGAGTATGTCCTGGTACCTCCTAATCGCTGCCTCATTATTCCCCATAATAACCTACATTCTCACCGTTGTGTAGATGGGGAAATGGAGGCACAGAACTAGCTTGGTAGCCTCCATTCTGGAGCCTCTGCTGTGACGCCCTGCACAGCTGGGATAATGTCTGATGCTAAAGCCCGTGTCCTTCCCTCCGTGCCTCCCCAGATCACCTTATGGGCGTTCCAGAAGCTGTTTGGAAACAGACTCTCCCTTGGGTGAATAAAAGGCTTGGATACGCTAATCTCCTAGTCAGTCTAATAGGGAAGATTCTAGATTAAAATTTCTAAGAGTTTTTCCCCAAATTTCTAATCGAATCACTACTTCCAGTCCACATGGTTTAATTCACTGTGACTTGAGCCAGGCTTCTCTTTGAGAGGCTGGGCGATGGAGGAGGAGCAAACTTTGCCCCATAATTGAGTTCCTTCTTCCACATTACCAAAGACTGACTTTCTCTGGCAGGAGTTAAGTCCCTTCTGAAGTGCTGCTACTGTTGCCAATGATGATGAACATGATGACAACTATCTGGCATTCATGTTCCTGTCCACTAGGTCTAATTCTGAAAGTGCTTATTGAAATGAAGTAACATCATATCTATGTACTGAGAAACCACACTATAATTGAATCAGACTAGGTTTTCATCTTTCCTAGGGTGGTCGTCTAACTCTTCCATCACTACATCTGTCTATTAATCCGAAAAAAAGAGAAAAAAGATGTTATGCTCCTCTACCAAAAGAGAGAAAAAGAAAGAAGGAAGGAAGGAAGGAAGGAAGGAAGGAAGGAAGGAAGGAAGGAAAAGAAGGGAAGAAGGAAATGAAACTGTGAATTCAAGGGAGATAACCGGGTTTTTCTTCTCATATTTCAAACTCTGAGTCTTTTACAGTTTTTTGAACTCCATCAGGGTTTCCTACCTGTTGCCAGAGCAGTTGCCAGTGACAGATGACAGAGGTTTTGTCCCATAGCCCAGAAAAGAATTTGGTGGAGGGAATGGGAAAATAAGAAATCATGATAAAAGGCAAAAGACTGATATCTAAAAGAAAGCATTTCATTGTGGGACTTTCAAACATGCACTGAAGTAGAGAGAAGAGCAGAGATGACGTACCTACCCCCAGCACGTGGGCTCACGTTCCCATCATCGCCCTCCTGATGAAGCAGGTGGACTGTTAACATGCCGACAGCACATGCCCATGAATAGCTGAACGTGGCCAGACTGGTGTGTGCATGCTAGCAGAGGGCACGGCGGGTCCTCTGGCCTGTTAATCACACCTGTTAATCACACCCACAAGTACACGCAAAAAGGAAGGAGGGAAGGAAGGAAGGAAGGAAAGAAAAGAAGGGAAGAAGGAAATGAAACTGTGAATTCAAGGGAGATAACCGGGTTTTTCTTCTCATATTTCAAACTCTGAGTCTTTTACAGTTTTTTGAACTCCATCAGGGTTTCCTACCTGTTGCCAGAGCAGTTGCCAGTGACAGATGACAGAGGTTTTGTCCCATAGCCCAGAAAAGAATTTGGTGGAGGGAATGGGAAAATAAGAAATCATGATAAAAGGCAAAAGACTGATATCTAAAAGAAAGCATTTCATTGTGGGACTTTCAAACATGCACTGAAGTAGAAGAGCAGAGATGACGTACCTACCCCCAGCACGTGGGCTCACGTTCCCATCATCGCCCTCCTGATGAAGCAGGTGGACTGTTAACATGCCGACAGCACATGCCCATGAATAGCTGAACGTGGCCAGACTGGTGTGTGCATGCTAGCAGAGGGCACGGCGGGTCCTCTGGCCTGTTAATCACACCTGTTAATCACACCCACAAGTACACGCAAAGCTGATTGAGGCCCCTTCCTGGCTATGGCCTTCGAGTGTCTGAATTGCAGGTGGAACTTCCTCCTTCTCTCCACAGCCCCTTGTGGACCCAGTTACCTGAGACCTAGGGCATTTCCAAAAGTGAAAAGTGAAGTCGAGGTCCAGAGGAGAGTGAACATTATTACTCTGTTTTAAAAAATTATTTCTTTACATTTGATGTTTGCACATCTTTAGACCGTCTAATACGATGTTTCAAGGCATGCATGCAGTGCATGGTAAGCAGATCAAACCTCTTACCATACATTAGGTTGTCGGAAAAGTCATGATGTTTTTGCATAGAAAAAAATATGTCAGGACTTGCCCAACGACACAATGTATCATTTCCAGAAGAGTACTTTACATTCTTGTGTCTGTTTTTCCGGAGCCCCTCCTTCCTGTCCCATACTGTCCACCCCTTCCTAAAGGGTCTCTGGTGTCTACACTCGCCCTCCCTATATTAAATCTTTGAATCTTTCAATGCCTGCCACAGAGGGCAGCTATTCAGTATTACTGTTCTTCATTGTTTGATAGGCTGGGACCTACCTTAGCCTAAAATTTAAAAGCACTTAATTTTTGAGGTTTGAATTGACATTAAAAGGCATAAAATGAGCATTTTAAATGCAGTCCTTTTAAATTTTCATCATAAAAGTTTTTCTTTAGTGATGGTGAGTTAGGTCTTTTCCCACTGGCAGATGGAATGATGGAAGAGTTAGGGGTCACCCCTTCCTGGAGAGTCTGTGCTGCTGGGGCCAGAGCAGAGCCTGGGTGTAGGTCGAGCTGGGGAAGAGTCCGGGAGTGGGGAAGGGGTGTGGCCAGCCTCTTCATGTGGCTACAGGAGGTTCTAACAGACAGCTGAGGGCCTCTGGGCCTCTAAATGTACCACTCCCTGCCCAAGCAGGGTGGAAAAATTACGTTTCTAACATTGATGGACTCAAGTTTCTAAGATTGACGCAGGGGAAGGGAAAGTGTTGTCTGTCACTAGAACCATAGGATCTGCAGGACTGGTAGGAGCATTCGTGTCCTGCACTGGAACGGCACCTGCAGTTTAAGCAGTGTGCAGGTCCTGTCTCTCAGGGTATACCCCTCAACGCCCTCACTGCTATCCAGAGCTCACTTCTGCCATCAGTTTCTTTTTTAAAACAGTTTTTTGCTGTAGGGCATGTGTGATTGATTGCCAGAGAGAGACGGAGAGAGGGATAGTGTGCAATCACCTCCCCTCCCCGGGGGGCGCAGTGGGGGATGGACATGCTGCAATCCCTTTTCTTCATTCTCCTCCTGGGCTTTTGAGCATGCACACACAGGCACTTGGCCTGAGTTTCAAGCTGCTGGATCAGCCTGTGGGAGCCACATGGGAGTCCACCCTGGTCAGCCATGTGGGAGTCCAGCACCTTCTATCAGTTTCTTTAGGCCCTGAGCTCAGTTTCCTGCCCACACCTTAGGATGTTTGGCATGTGCTAAGCCCTGTGTGCTCATGCTGGTCTTTGGGGGTCACAGTTTCTATGTCCTTTCCCTGGAGAATCCAGCTTTAACCTGTGTCCCCAACTATCCAGGTTCCATATCTCTCACCTCATCAGCCCTGCCAATTCCTCCTCTTCTCTCTAGATTCCGTATGGTATCTCTCACCTCATCAGCCCTGCCTCATTCCTCCTTTTCTGTCTAGATTCCGTATCTTGTACCTTGTCGCTACCTGCACCGTTCCTTCTTTTCCTTAAAAAAAAAAATTTAAAAACCTATAATTATATGGTCACTTGTGTGCCTATTTTTCAATTTTATCTGCTCCACAAAACCACCAGATTTCTGAGGGGAGGGATCTTACTGACCAATTCCCCACTGGGTTCCATGCCTGACACATAGTCATTCTCAATAAATATTCAGTAAATGACTAAATGAGTGAAACAGACAAAATGAAAGGAAGACTGGATGAAGAGAATCATACCACAGCCGGAGGGGGGCTGACTGAAGACTCGGGGTGCAGGTGTGATGTTGTTCTTACCCGAGGGCAGACAGGATTCCCTCCTGTCCCTCACGCAGTGGGTCTAAGTGGGACACCTACGAGAGGTGCCGTTAAGTAGCAGGTGCCCCAGAGAACTGCACATTCCGGGGCAGGTTTGGGAAAGGAAATAAAAGCGGCAAAGAGACTAATAGGTAGAAAGATTTTGACGGCGGAAATAACCAGCTCTGTAGAAGCCATCATCAACACCGTTTATGCTAAGCAGCACTTGGAGTGAGCAGATGTGGAGAAGCGCAGAGGTGCTGAGACAGGCAGTTCTCCCAGGCTGTTCTGAGGCCCAGGAACACCAAGCTGTGGGCCGGCACAAGGAGTCTTCACTGGTCTGGCCAACAAGGCGGGCCATGCGGATGCAAG